TTATGTAAAAATAATGCTGTCTATGAATTCTCATTCTCACCTGTGAGATATTACATCTCCAATACTAATAATTATAAATCAACATTAAATACTTACATTAGGCACACGTGCACTACACTCTCACGCAGATTGATCTGCCGTCTGTTGAAACTTAGTGCAATATATATATATATATATATATATATATATATATATATATATATATGAAGAAATATCATTTTAATGTGTGTTATATTTATAGGATAAAGTGCTCAATATCAGAGATAGAGAGTATGTAAATATAAATATAAAAGTTAACATTGAAGTCAACACATATCGGTCGCATATTTACGCATATTTACTGTGGATGACTTTGTGATCAAGGCCTTGCTATACATTTTCGTCTATATAAATTGTTTTCTCCTTTGACCTGTGTAGTATTTTTTAGATCAAAATTGTGGTCAATCTTGTTACGGTGAGCAACTAATGTATTTGAAGTATTGCTTTGTAAAATATCACTTTTGTGTTCATATAATCTTTTATTTAGATTCCTTGAGGTTTCTCCTATGGATTTTTGTGATAATTATTACAGGCGATCGAATAAAATCCTCCTTCAAATTTTAGCGTATTGTTTGACTAAGCCTTTTATTGCTTTTGATGTAGTAACAATTTTTATGTTGAGTTTAAATAAGTTCTTTTCAATTGTAGATGTGATAGAGTTAGTTGGTAGGACAATATATCTTTTTCATTCATTGGGTTTGTCACGTGGGGCCGTTTTTCTATTTTGGAATATTTATGTGCCTTTTGTTTGCATAGAATATAAAATAATTATCGTACTGAAGAAGGTTGAAAGTATTTTAACTGTATCTCTCCTCTTCATGTAAATACTGAGGACTGCAAATTCTGAGTGCTCTTAAGTGGAGTCTGATAATTGTAACGGATTTTGTTTTGTTGTTATGCTGAGAATAGAAATTTATAAGATCGTTTTTGTTCGTTGGTTTCCGTTGGACACCAAGTTTTAAACTATTGTTAATGCGGTGATATCTACGAAAGGTAAAGTATTGTAGTTTTCCATTTCGTATATAAATTCAACTGTATGCTCGACTTTTAGTGTATCTACAAGGGTAAGTCAATCAGTATCACGAAGTTATATTAATAGAGCATCATCAATATATCAAAAGTATGCTGATTGTTTGAGTAAAATATTTTGGAAAGGACCAGATTCCATAAATTATAGGAAGATACATGTCATTACTCCACTAAGAGGTGATCCCATTGCTAATCCAAATTTAAATTATGAAATGTGAATTAACATTGACTGGTAATGAGACGGTGGATTTTTATTACTTTAGATATTGGTAGAAAGATGTTTAATTTTGATGATTTTAAAGAGATTTAGGCATTTTCCAACTAGAACGTTGGTGTGAAAGAATTGTATATCTACAGTGGCCATGATTTTGTTAGTCAGGTTCATTTCGCTTAGTTTTTTCAACTAGGCTGCCTGAATTCTTTATATGAGATAGGCAGATTGTTCCAAGGAGAGGGGATAGAATTTTTGTTACGGTTTTGGCCAGTTTGTGAGGGGCGCTGTTTTTCTGGGATGACGGGGCACATCGGGATACCTGTTTTGTGGGTTTTAGGGAGACCGTAAAATTTGGGTATTCTAGGATGATATTCTATTAGTCTATCCCATAATTTATTTTGATTTTTAATTAGCTTCCTAATTTCCTTGTTAGATTTTGGCATTTATTTTTTCAAATGTGTCGGTATCGTTGAGTAGTTGATCATGAACAAGAATACATACATAAAAATAAATGATAGATAGATAGGAAACAGACTGTTATAGATAGATAGATAGATAGATAGATAGATAGATAGATAGATAGATAGATAGATGCTAACAGACTGAGATAGATAGATAGATAGATAGATAGATAGATAGGAAACAGACTGAGATAGATAGATAGATAGATAGATAGATAGATAGATAGATAGATAGATAGATAGATAGATAGATGCTAACAGACTGAGAGAGATAGATAGATAGATAGGAAACAGGATGTGATAGATAGATAGATAGATAGATAGAAACAGACTGAGATAGATAGATAGATAGATAGATAGATAGATAGATAGATAGATGCTAACAGACTGAGAGATAGATAGATAGATAGATAGATAGATAGATAGATAGATAGATGCTAACAGACTGAGATAGATAGATAGATAGATAGATAGATAGATAGATAGATAGATAGATAGATAGGCAGTCTTTTCATGCCTTAACGCAACCTTCAGGCGTGAAGATTGCGTTTAAGCATGAAGTAGACAGTCGCTGGTTGGTGTTGACCTAATTACTGGGTCGCCCAGTCAATTGCCAAACCCCATCACGATATTTGCAAACGGTGGACGAAGGAAATGGAACAGATGTTATATGTCAGCCAGATGTAATGAAAGAAACATGAGAAGAACGTCCACACAATCGTCATCGAAACCAATCTTCAGAAACGCCTAATCACAGCTTGACTATTCTGGGTTCGGTTCCAAATTTTAAAAATCATCTGAAGGCTGAAACGTTTTGAATGTGACAATGAAGATGAGCACAACAGTCCGAATAATATAAATAGTGTAAATAGTTAAAATACCTATACTCAAAAATATAGACAGATCCTGAAGAAGGCCGGAGCGTACAACGGTCGAAACATTGGAAATATGACAATAAAAATGAGCGCAACAGCCCGAACAATGTAAATAGTGTAAATAAGTATTTATTGTATAAAATCAATACTTCTCGCAACATTAGTCTACAAATTTACAGGCGCAATACGTATATATAGCTATGTGTGTAGGTGCGTGTGCGTGTGTGTGTGTGTGGTTTGCTAAGTATGAACACATGTTCCATTTAATAAGTCAGATTTAATTTTTCATTTAATTTAGCAATTCATTTGTTCAGCCTTGATAAGATCGAATATGATTACGTTTTTATAAATAACGTAACGGGCGGATCCGATGAGCTATTTTTTTACCAGGCATAGCCTGATGATCTTACCGAATGTTCATGCCAGTATTTCTAACATCTTTTAGAAAAAATAAAGACAAATAAAGACAGGAATAATTCACGTATGATCAAACATAACGATATCAGTTTGAGTCATAAGTAATTTCCGTTTTTCGGAACCAAATGTAAGTATTTTGTAGGAATTACGAATAAAACTGGGGTACAATAACATATGTTTTTGTTTCTTCACACCAGTGGCAACGTACACAGTAGATTAAAGGAAAAATATTGTCCTTTATGACAACGCAAAGCTTCAGACAAGACTAACATCAGCGGAAAAGAATTTGAAACTTGCTTGATCGGTTCTACCCTATGCGCCATATTAACCTGAAAATTCATTGATGGAGGAAGCTTTCTCTGATGAAAAGCAGAACCAAGGTTTTTGCCCAAATGTATTTCACATCATAACATGGTGAATTTTTCTCAAATAATATCGAAGAGCATCCTGATAAACGGCATAAATACACTCCAAATAATGACGGATATGAAATTGAACAAAAACGTAATTGAAAAATAAAATTGATAAACAAAAATGGAAATTATTTATGATTCAACAAAATATTTCATACTCCGCGATACTGTCTTGTCAGGGTATATGCTTCTGACGGTAAACGAAGAAATCTTAATTATCTGTGTTTTTATATATATATATATATATATATGCAGGATGGGGAAGAAAAATTTACAATATTTTGCGACAGGAATTGAAAGACCGTTGTAAATTTTGCTTATCCACTCTGTGTATATATATATATTAGGACATTTTTATGTTTATACGTTCTTTTTATATATAAAATATCTTAAAAATGAATTGTCGTTCTTTGTCCATTTCATAATGTATGACGTATATATATATATATATATATATATATATATATATATATATATAGTTAAACCTAGAGAGTCAGACAAACCCACCAAGGTTTCACCTAAGCGAATCGTCAGTCCTTCCCTGACGATCCGCTTAGGTGAAACCTTGGTAGTTTGTCTGGCTCTCTAGGTTTAACTAGGTCTGCTACACTCATTGTATTGAGCACTTTATTTAGTTATTTTGGGTACCGCATCGGTTTTTTTTTTCTTTGGGCCTTGAACTCGTATACTGGACGATTATTTTCGGTTAACGTACATGTTCTTGGTTCTTTCTTTTTTTATACCTTTTTTTCCCCTTTGGTATTGGCTTGTTTATTTGCAAACCAACACACTAAAGGTTTTCCGAGCGAATATAATTTCTTATAATTATAAGATTTCTTTATATATATATATATATATATATATATATATATATATATATATATATATATATATATATATATATTCGAATTGGTATCAAATATGGATCGAATTACGATAGAATGATAGGATAAAGAACAAATAAGAAACATGTTACACTTTTAATAAAGTTTCATCTTCAAAGAAGAAATAAATTTTAGAATTTAATTTTGTTTTTTTTTGTTGTATGATTTTCATTGGTTAAATCGGCTTCACGTGAAACAACGTTAGTATAACATACTGACAACCCAAAAATATAATGTCTACTAGACATGCACACACACATACGAATATGCAGTTTCATCTGAATCCCACATAGGAAGAATATAATTATGACACACACACACACACACACACACACACACACACACACACACGCACACACACACAATATATATATATATATATATATATATATATATATATATATATATATGTAAGCAAATATATGGATATAGATCCGACAGTATGAAGAAAATATACGGAAAAAAACAAACAAAAAATCCTAATATGCAATTATGCTGTTTTAATGTTAATATAATGTCAACGTCGGACATTTCGATCTAATAGACCATCTTCAGGACATATTCATAAAGCATAATTAACATAGACCATATTCAACATGAAAAAGACGATGGACATAAAAGCAAGACCAATCCAAACAGATAACTGAAATCTTTTATAAGATCAGCGTTCCGTTTCAATATGATCATGTCGTCTTTTTCATGTTGAATTGAATATGGTCTATGTTAATTATGTTTTATGAATGTGTCCTGAAGATGGCCTATTAGACCGAAACGTCCGACGTTGACATTATATTAACATTAAAACAGCATAATTGCATATTAGGACTTTTGTTTGTTTTTTCCGTATATTTTTTCTTATATATATATATATATATATATATATATATATATATATATAAAGCAATATTTACGTATTTTCAGTTAGGCTTGGAATCCTTTAAGTCTTTGAGGCTTCCAAAGGACGTGTCGTCTCTCCTTGAATTTGGAACGCCATAAATTATACTAACTTTATTTAATAAGTGAAAAAATGAAATATGTTAGATTGATAAACATAGGAGGCACGGTGGAGTAATGGATAGCGGCTTGGATTGAGAAATCGGATTGAGTTCGAATTCCAGTCGAATCCATTACATTCACTTACGTTCTAATACCCTTGGGAAAGGTGTGAATCCTCTTCTCCCGACAGACTGGGTTCTATAGCCTTGGATGGCAACTTCTCTAGGAGAAGGAAAACTTCAAAACCTGCGGAGGGTCGTTTGGGGACCTTGTGGAACCTTCACCACTATAATCAAATCTCATGTGCTATACATGCGGGTTGGGGACCGCTTGTGAATTCCAAATTCCCATGAAACACCTATATTGAAGCCGGCTCAACCCACACCGGGTGAATGCCGTTACAGACAGGTACAGGGTAGGATAAACATTTCCTATTTGTTCTTTATTCTATCATATATGTAAACATACACACACACATAGGGGGTGCTATTGACTCGGGCAGTGGAATATTAAAATCGTTTAACTTCGCGCTAATGCACCTGGAGGACCTGGCTATTTTGCCTTGGTTGTCTGCCAGTTTAGGAGAAAGAAAACTCTGAATTCAAACCGGGAGAATGCCGTTTGGAGACTTTGTGTCACACTGTGCATATTTCTCTATCAGTTCTTCTGAAAAGTGTAGCTAGTTTTTCACAAGTCTTCATCTTTATAATCAAATTATCTGATTTAGCGATCCATTTTTAAAAATTGAATTTCTGAGCCATCATTACGTTATGTCCGTTTCTCGTTTCGTGTTGATTTAGCTAAATAAAAATATCATTTAATCTGCAATTTTTATTGAAGACCAAGATTTTATAAATTTTTAATTTTGGAATTACACTACCAGCCGTCATAAAGACTGGTTTATTGCTGCAGATTACTGCTAAAGAAATCTTCTGAAATAGCCAGTTGGTTTGTTATGGTTTGTCGTGGTTCGTCTTGGAGCTAAGCTACCATGGAACCTATTTGACGAGCAAGTTTGGCAGTTTGAAGACTTATAATGCCAGAGGCATCGATAGCGACCGACGCAAGATTGTATCTGCTTAGCTATTTTTCGCTTCTCTGTCTGTCGGACGAAGTAGCCGATGGGGTCAGGTTGACATTTGCGAATGAGTCGTTGCAGGTGGCATCCTAGATAAGTGACTCTCCACATGCGAAAAGAAAAAAACGGTTAAGCTGAGACAGAATGCTATCTGCGTCTATTATCCTTCTTTTATTGTCTCGTTAAGAGCGATGGTCTGGAGGAGAGAGTGGAGTGCTGAGACGGTATGTGTAGAGGGCGAATGCGACAACAGTGACCCCGTAGGCGGTAGCAATCAGATTCGCAGATGCAACGACCGAGATGTCCAAGAAAGTGAAAATGGTTGATAATCGCATACCATTCAACCATTCTCTAAGATGACTGAGTTGCGATGCATTTTTATGTCATGACCCTCCATGACGTAGGGTACTTTTTATTTTTATAAGGGGGTCTCTCTATCAAGCATCCTGTAACTCATTAAAGTTGTAGGATGTTGTGTTTTCGAGATAACAGAGGAAAATAAAGAAGACAAACTCATAGGTAAGTAATGAGATAGAAGGTTTATTACACGAAGATACACTTAGCAACTGACCTAATGCTAACTCTCCTCAACTACGCTTAACTCAGCTTATTTACATAAACGGACGATTTCATTCATTTATATCCTATATGACATTGGGGCAACATATGTACTGCATCTGTGGTAGCAGTGGTGTGTTTTGGGATAGATAGCCCAAAGGAGCACAACCCTCTCAAGGATTGTTTGAATTCAGAAGTTTCCTTCTACTAAAATAGTAATTACCCAAGGATATAGGACTCAGACCGTCTTGCTATTTATCCATAGATAGAGGGACATGAGATGGCTACCTACTTTTTGCTAGGGTATTAACACGTAATGAATGTAATGATCTCGACTGGAATTCGAATTCGACTATCCAGTTCCCCAATCCAAGCCCCAATTCATTACCCTACCGTACCTTTACAGGGGGTCTAAAACTCATGGAACGAGAGACATTACATGAGGAGGTGTAGCGATATAGAAATAGGAACATCAACTACAGTGTTTGGGCGAGTCAAATCCAG